CCACCACCACCACCACCGCCACGGCTGCAGCCGCCGCCAGAATAATATAATCGTGAAAAAGATGGGTTGATAGCCAAACAGCATGATGACAGTCCACAATACCCTAAACATCCCTAAATGGGGCAGGAAATGGGCTCACCAAGACCATTGTGACCAGAGTGACTCAGCACGTTGGCAACGGAGCTCCAAGCTTCTACCAGACTCGCCATGCCTATCCCGTTGAGGACTTCACGGGACTGAAGGTTTGGGCGAGAGTCTAGAGATTTGGATTGAGGGTGCAGGCATGTTGTTTTGAGCTAGGGCATGGGGGATTTTTTGGGGTGTGGGGTGGGTTTCAGGGCTGACACGCCAGCGCAGTTTCGTTTGCACAAGGTCCTAAGTCATCCAAGTATGATCAATTCGCGAGTTTGGATAATTTGTAGTGCTATTGGTATACAGTCCCTTATACTAGGCGCAGCAGGCTCCTCAATCCTGTTTTGGGCCCCTACACTGCAGATATGTTATCAATTGCAACCCGATTTCCCAATCTCAGTGGCTTCTTGGAGCCCTGTCAAGGACCAAGGCGAGGTTTACGATGCCCCGCCAGTCTACCACGAGCATCGCTATGCGCATGTCACCTGATCCATCCCAAAGGGTCCATGTACCCAATAAATAGGTACTTGGGTTTTGGGTCATAGTAACTAAAGTATTGGTTTTGGGTAAGTATATGATTATTTGTTACTTGGACCCTCAGGGAATAGTCTAAACTCCTTTAAACGGAGGTTATATAGGATTATGGCTCCTCTTGACCATGCAGTTGTTGTTTCGCTACTTGTTCTGTTTGCAGGCAGGACCCCGCCCCACCCAGCAATAGGGATTATCAAGGAGAATGGCTATCATACTAGGCCCTCGCATCTTCCTATTAATTGCATGACTATTGCAGGGCAGGGGGTTCCAGCTAGCGTTCAGGGTTCAGGGCTTAGGGGTCTATCACTCTTGGTTTCCTACAATCTTCATAGACCCTAAACCAACCCTCCCGACGTATTCCTAACAAGTTAATGACGCCCGGGACCTTGCAATGTGGATCCTAACCCTAAACCTGAGCTCATATGAACCTCCCCTTAAACCAACGCGTTCAGGGTTTAGAGGTTTAGGGTTTAGGGTTGGGATAGCCAGGTGGTGGACGATGTTGACTGCGAAGCAGGCTTCTCAAACTGGTACCACCGCTGGTCGGCGCGAAAGCAGGCAACCCGCACGGTAGCATCATAAGGGCCTGAATAATTAACTGGAAGAGGCAGGGCAATTTAAAGCGACCTCACCCGACCTCACCCTAAGTAGTGGTTTATAAAGCGAATAGTACCAGAATGGCCTTAAATAGGGAATTGTACGTATTCTAAATTACCCTGAATGGGGTGTTGAGGTCCATCATTTTGTGGTTGCATATTTATTAAGAAGAGGCCCTAAACCGTAAACCCTAGACCGAGGCTCCTGTATTACTTGGGAGTGCCTGCGGTCGAAACAGCCCTTAACCCCTTAAACCCTAAACCCCTAAAGCCTTGAACCCCAAAACCCTAAAACTTTTTGACCCTAAAAAACAAACAAAGGCCTGGTGCTGTCGTCATGCAAATCGAGGCTGTCCTGGCACCTGGCATGGCTTCAGCCATGGGGGCAGCTTCTGAACACGGCTTAAGGTTTTGAGGGTTTAGAGTCTAGGGTTCTAGGGTGGAGGGCTTAGTGCGGAGGATTTGGGGGTTCTAGGGTTTAGATTTTAGGGTTTAGGGTTTAGGGCTCTGAGTTTACGGCTGAGGATTTGGGGTTTAGGGTGCAGGGTTTAGGGAGTAGGAATTTGGAGTAAGGGTTAGGGTTTTGGGGTTCTGATTGGTTTAGGGGTCTAAGTTCCAGAGTATAAGGGTTTAGGGAATTTTGTTTAAAGGTAGCGGGGCCCCTTACTTACGCCAATGCCAGTACCCCAAAATAGTGTCATCCTCATCATGTGGGACCTCCCGAAAGGGATTGGTAATTTCTTTTGATTAGGGTTTGAGCGGCTTTGGGTTCACAGAGTTGAGGGCTCAGGGTTTAGACAGCTTAGGATTTAGGAGTTTGCGGTTTGTTCCTAAATGACATTGAGCACACTTTTGTTTTGTGTCTGTGTGTGGGTGTTTTGACCTAGCTCCTGCGTGTTGGTTCGGCGGAGGTTACGCGCACGGCTACGCGCGCAGCTATGTGCACAGCTACGCACATGTTGCCCACCGCGGTCGCCTGCATTGAATTTCTTGGGACTGCAATAATCATGGGGCTACTTATTGAGGATTGTCAAGGCCTATTCTGCAATTAATCTGTAAGCTACATGGGCCCCAACAAACTTGGGCTCTGCGGGGGCTAAATAAGGCTGATTATGGCTTATTAGGTTGGGGTGTGCATGTTGGGGACTGCCCATGGTGGTCTATGAAGGAAGGCATTCAAAACTTAAGGTTTATAACGCGAAGTTCACACAAACAGGGATAAGGAATCCTACGAGTTCCCATGTTTGATGGCATACTTGTTGAGACCATTTTGGGGGTCCCTATATTAAGAAGTATAGTATTTTAGGATCAATATTGGGGTCCCCCTATTTTAGGAAACTACCATATATTTTATAAGGTGTAGGCAAAAGCCAATAATTCTTAACAGTTGCCGCCTTTTGGGCTGGGCTCTGCTGATGAACGAGCTAGGAGCTATCCCAGAGGGTCCATGTACCCAATAATTTGGTACTTGGGTTTTGGCTAATAGTAGTTATAGTACAGGTTTTGGGCAAGTATATGATTATTATGTACTTGGACCCTTAGGGTATGCATTTGTGATTGCTCGTGCTGTCATGCAAGAGCATAAAAGGCCTTCTGTCAAGCTTGGTTCCTGAAACCCTATAAACCCTACACACAGTGAAGGTCACGCTGCCGGAACACTCTACGATTGCGACGCAGGCTTCTCAAACTGGATCCACGGATGGTCTGCCTCTAAGAAGGACTGGTGCTGCCGGCATGAACACAAAGGCTGCTCCTCTTATGACTGCCATGGCCCTCCTTATGCATGGTCACACGATCATCGCGAGTGGTGCTGTGGCAACTTTCAGAAGGGGTGCCCGCACACCACCCTGTCACCACTGGGCTGCGATGCGCCATGCACATTGCCCCTGGGTTGCTATACGCTATAGTCACCGAAAGGAGTCATGATGTAGCGGTATATGAGCTATAGTCTAAACTCCTATTTCCCGCTTTAGGACCCCCGTAATACTCCCCTTTATATCCCCCTATACAACCCTCCCTGAAGGAGCTTACACTACAGCTCATATAAGGTTTGACTGGTACTACCTTGTTGGTGTTTAATTTTTGAGAGGCGGGGCAGCTGTTAATTCGGGAAAGGAAAAGTTGTAGGGCTTGAGCTGTGGAATGGATTATCTTGAGAGTTCAGACCCTAACCAAGGCATAAGATCTGGAGTCCAAGGCTCAGGGCATAAGTTTTCGGGAATTTGGAGTTTCACGGCTTCAGTTTGAGGATTTCGGGTTTCTGGTTCAGGGCGCAGAGGGGCTCATGTTCTGGCAGCAAGAGCGTCCTTGGCTAGAAACTTTCGCAATACCTATAGCTACCATTATTACTGACACAGTTACTGCTACTCACATTGTTGCTACCATTATTACTACTAGCTTAGGTTCCTTGGTTGAGGGCCTTGGGTTGAGGGTATGTGTAGGGTGTTTAGGATTGTTTGGACATTCTTCTCGCCATCACTGGTATGACCACTTTAGCGTCATACACTCCAAGTCCGTTCAAGAAGCAGGTCCTTCCTGTTATGCCATACCAACAAGTTTCTGTACCTAAACCAGAAACCCTAAGACCTACACCCTAAATCCCCAACCCTAAACCTTAAGTCCTAAGCTGCTATGCAGTACCAAGGCATGGTGAAACCTCCAGCTGCAAAGATCGCATTGATCCTTGGTAGCCCAAGGGCTTAGGCTTTGGCGTGTGTGGTTTAGGCATCCCGGGCCCCTGAAACCCTAACTGCTTAGGCTTTATAGGGTTTAGGGTTTAGGGTTTAGGGCTAAGTGCTTTGGGGTTTCGAGTTGAGGGTTTACGACATGATTCTGCAGGATCCCATGCGTTGTCGTGTTCACGGTTTTCTAGGCTGCCAGTGTGTCAGGTTGAGTAGTATATCCTCTTCCCTGGGCCTTGTTGAGGATCATTCTAGATTGGATATGGGAACCCTGATGAGCGGTAAGGTTACCTTCTGGTTGTAAGCGCTTGAGAAAAACTTTCAGTTTTTGATGCAGGGCTTCGGGTATAGGTTGATACTGTCCATGCCCGGAATGCATGGAAAGTGTACAGGGCCAACAGGCAAGACACAACCCCTGAAAACAAACATCGGGACTTGAACCCCAAACAATTTCAGTTGACCCTATACGTCCTAAACCCTAAACCTGAATTCCTACATCCTAAGCCCTAAACCCTAAAAACCTTAAACCCTAAACCCCAAAAAAGTCCAGAAAACCCTAAACCCTAAGCAAGGATTGGACCGCTCAGCACAGCTTTGAAGGCCATTCCAACGCCTGCTCGCTGGCCTATAGCCGGGTCCAGGTGACGTTAGGGTTTAGGGTTTAGGGCTTGGGGTTTAGGATTTAGGGTTTAGAGGTTAGGGTTTAGGGGTTAAGGATTTAGGTCTCAGGGATGTAGGGTTTAGGGTTCATGGCTTAGGGTTTAGGCTTGGTAGATGAACAGATAACCTACACTGGCTTCCTTGGAATTGTTTGGTGTGCCTGTGTATGTAGGCTTGCTTTAACTTTAACTTGTTGGGGTATAGATCGGAGGTATATATGGGCTGACTATACCACAAAAGTCAACCATTTCGTGCTTGGAAACGCAGCACTTAGGACCTAAGGTTGGGATTTGCCAGGAAGAACAAATCGCCCGATGTCGCAGCCTATGTTTTCTAGAGTTCTACCCCACCCGTTCGTGACCATCTATATCCAAGTGAGTCCTGTGTTTAAAGCTCATAGAAAGTCGTAATATGCCTAAACCAAACTTTGGAGCTCATCAAGACCCAACCAATCCCAACAAAAGTAGGGATAAACCCTAAACCCTAGCCCCCCACCCTAAGCCCAAGACCCTTTGGACTTCAGGTGGAGTGCGACGTTTGCCGTGCATGTACCATCCAGGAAGCCGGCTGTCAAGTGGCGCATTCCCCAGGCTCACTGCCATATGAGCCTCTGTCACAATGGGCCTTTAGGGGTTAGGGTTTAGGATTCGACCAAAATTAGGGTTACCGTCTACTGTATTGGGGGGTGGTCCCCATAATAAGGGTCATGATAATTTGGGATCTTTAATGGGTTCACCTATTTCAAGAAACTACCACATCATCAGAAGTTTCCTGAAGATTTTTCGGGTTTATTCCGACAGTTTGAGAATGCAACCTTCTGCCCATGGGAGGATACTTGCGTTAGAAACCTCTCTGTACGCCAACGATTCTTGCATGGGTTTTGAGGTTCGGGATTTGGGCTTGAGGTTGGGGAGTTTTCAAAGGTCTCTGGCCGTTTCCCACTCCGACTTAAATGGTAGTTTCCATTTCTTTTCCATTATCCCTATAGAACCCCTATATTTCCCCTATGTTGTTATATTACCCCTATATCACCCATGGGTCTATTAAAGCATGAGTTGGTTTCTGGCAGTCTAAGATTATGAATCCAAAGTACGAGCTCTTGGTGGAACATGGTGCCTGCGCCCAATCCTGCGCCTCAAGCATTGAAACCTCAGCTTTTTGAACCCCTGAACCCATGAAGCCCCAAACCCTACGACCCCAACAGCTACTAATCCCCTAAAACCCGAAAACGTCGAAGGTTCTGACTGTTGTCCCCTGATATGGGCCCATACCTGTTTCTTAGGTCCGAACTTTGCGCCCTTGATTGGGTTGGCAGGTTTTTGCCGAGTATATAACAGGTCTATATAAGGATCTTAGCTTGAATGATGGGCCCATACTATGATCCCTAAACCCTGAGCCCTAAAGCCATACTAGGAGCCCATAGCTCCAACCTTATAAGCTGGGACAAGTCAGGACTGCAATGCAGCGCTCAGCAACTTCTTCCGTGCTTGGTCCCCCGAAAAGAAGCACTGGTGCTGCTCAAGCCAAGGCAAGGGGCGCTTCGGGTTTAGGGTTTCAGGTTTTAGGGTTTAAGGTGTTAGCGTTTAGGGTTTGAGCTTTTCGGGTAGGGTTGTTTAAGGCTTCAGAACTTATGGTCAAAGGTTTAGGGTTAGGGTATAAGCTCATGGGGGTTTGAGGTTTTAGGGTTTAGGCTGGAAGTTTTGGGGTACCTAACTTACCGGCGCTTAAGGGCCAGAGGGTGGATGGAACCCCAGATCATCACTGTAGATTGTAGGCTTATAGAATGAAAAGACTTCATACATGACTGCCTAGGATATGAACCCTAGAACAGTTGTATGACCCATGGAAGTCATAGAGGTGTTCAGGTTTTTCGGGTGCTTGAGTGGCGGGTTGGGAGACTGGCTTTCCCATAACAATCGTGATATAATCCCCATATGAGCCATAGTCTAAGCTCGTTAAAAGGGGGTTATATAAGGGATTACATATGGGGACTACTATAGTCTATAGTGGTTCTTAAGGAGGATACTAGGAGTTTAGATTCATTGCCCACGTGTAGCACCATTTTGGACTTCATGAATAATCCTCTCCCCATTGTCGAATCATGTAGACTATATCCGGTACGAGCCATGAAGCCTGCAGACCTTCAAACCCCGATCTTAAAACCTTAGTCCCTCAACCAAGGGCTTAAACCCTTTAAACCCAAACCTCGACCCTGAACCCTAACACCCTTTGCCACTTGAAACCTCAGCTTCAATCCGAAAACCCCCTTCAGCCCCCCAAAATTTGATTCTCACCTTTCTGAACTCTAAACTGGGAACCACGAAGGCAAGGGTTGTGAAGGAAATCATCCTCCGCCGTTTGATCCTGGTGCTGGAATCTAGGTCCTGATAGAGATGAGGGTATAGGCTTTGGGTTTTCTAGTGCTTTGTTGAGTCAAAGGTTGTTTGGAGTTTGGGATTTAGGGTGCAGGGTTTTTGGGTTAAGGTCTCTGCCCATGCCGCCTTTGGGGTTTGGGATGTCTTTGCTGTTCGCATTCTCCTCTGTTGCAGTTGGGGGTTTTGCTTGTGGTTTGGCGTCGGCCACACAGCCAATTCACAATAAAACTAAGCTGTCAACCCTAAACCCTCAGAGGTAGGTAAAGCCCAAACAAACGCTACATCCCTTTTCGGGCTGCGGAGTCGTGGTGGGTTCGAGATTCCAGGCATAGGCCGTTGGCGCGTTTCTTTTCCGACGCATTCTATCCTAGGCTGTGTAGGGCTTAGGCACGTTGGGTTTCAGGTCCTGGGTTAGGGTTTCAGTTTAGGCGGCTTAAGGTTTTCGGGTCTAGGATAACATCTTGGTTTTGAGTTTTGGGTTTTAGGGTTTCGAGTCCATCTACATAGACCTCTTCTTCGAGGTTCGACTTTACCTGGGGGGGGGGGCAAGATCAAAACCCAAAAGTTGAATCCCAAACCCGAAACCCTAAATCCTAAACTTTAAGCCCTAGATCCTACACCCTGAACCTCCAATCCTAAATCCTAAGCCCCGCACCCTTGGAGGGTGCAGCATTGATCCCAGGCATGATATGGCGGCATGTACAAGTGAACGGGTATTGGACATGGCAACTCGCATGCTCTTCAGGCGCTAGAAAAAGACTTGGGGATCAAGGTATAGGATTTCCGTGATAGGGTTTAGGGAACAAGGTTAAGGATTTAGGGTTTTGGACTTAAGAAACAAGGTTTATTTAGGATCTCGGGTTTCGTATTTAGGGAACAAGGTTTAGGATGTCGGGGTTCTGGAGGCTGGGGTTAAGGGTTGAGCGCTTGGGGTGCAGGGTTTTATAATCCGTGTGTCTGTGTGTGCGCAGGCTTCATGAAATAGAGATGCCCCTGTTATCGTAATCCACAGAATCCCTGAATCATAAACCGGCAGCAAGCGCAACAAATCACCCGGTCAACCGAAAAAAACAACTTAAACTGATTGTGGCATGCCATGCTCCGTGCAAAAATTCCACACAGCCCACATAAAACAGAGCAGTGTGGGGTCCATGCAAGCCCCTCATTTATACGCGTTGCCATTGCCCTACCCCCTCAAACCTAGTCCGGAAACCCTATAACCTTCAACCTACATCCTGAACGCTACGACCTTCAGCCAGAATGCCAAGCCTTAAACTCCTTAACTGCTGAACCCTTAGCCCCTAAACCCTCCAGCTCCTTAACTTACTGGTGATTTGCAGGGAATAAGTGCGTATACTTCCTCTAGAACCCCCACATACCCAAAGGGTCCTAAGTACCCATATGGGGAATACTTACCCAGAAATTACTACTACAGAAACCACACTTTGTACCATATAGGTACTTTGGACCCTTTGGGATAAACAGTAAGTCAACTCGTCAACTCCAAGGCAGGTGGTCTCAGCTGGAGGGACCTCAGGCAGCCTACCGTTTGACTGCAATGCTGGGCGTGCGAGGCTCACCTTGACGAGTTGAATCACGGTCCAGTTGTTGTTGCTGGCATTACATATCTACATAGGCCAAAAATGGAGGATGAAGTGGACAACATGGCACGGACATGGAAACACCGATATTCTTGGCTTTCTATGATTGAGGGATTTTGGGCTTTAGGGTTTCTTCAGTGGTGCCTTCGAGGGAGGAAGGGAATACAGGTACTCCTGCGCTCGCTGGGAATGCCTGGAAGTGACGTGCTCTCATTATGCGCAGGGTGCGTGTCGGGACACGGTACAGTGGGGCTATGGTTTCAGGTTTACGGTTGCATGCCTCAGCTTGAGGCAGGCAGGGGTATGAATGTAGGCTGCAGGTGTCAAGGGCTTAGGGCTTAAATGACTTTGATGTACCTTACTTTAAACTCAAGATCCTAAACCTTGGAACCGAAAGCCTTAGCCCTCAGCCCGAAACCCTAAAACCCTAAACCCTACACCGCTCCAGAATCCTGGTGTAGAGAGCATAAGGGACCGGATTGTCGTCAAGGATTAGGGTCTATGGCAAGGGCTTAGAGTTTGGGGCTTAGGGTTTGGGACTCAGGTTTAGCAAAGATTGAAGTGGCTGATCTCGTTCCCTTACCTTCGGTCAGCTGAAAGGATCTTATCAGGGGGGCTGTTCTGACTCCTAAATGGGAGTTTATCAAAATTAGAGGTACCATTTTTAGGGTCCCCAGAATAGGATTATAGGGTCTACGTTAGGGTCCCCCTATTTTGTGAAAGTACCATTTCTTGTTGTGGTATGTGTTCTTGTAAGGGCCCCAAGATGACAGGGAACACGCACACAAGCGCCTACACCGGCTTCCGTTCTTGCAAAAGGGGAGCTGGCAGGGTTCCATGTTCCTGTGGGAGAAGATATCCCTGAACCCTAAACCCTTACCCCCAGCAGGGTGCGGATCCCACTCTTTACGGTTTAGAGTGGAGGGTCCCTTCTAATCCACACGTGGGCGGCACCCCCCAACCAAAATCTTATTATAAGTCCCTTGAAAGCCCAATCTTCCAGAACACCAAACCCTGAAACACTAAAGCCCGCTACAGACACCAATCCTGATAACCCTAAACACAAGGTCTAATGCGACGTGAAACCCTTTCACCTCAGACCCTATAGCCTGAGAAAACCCAACCCGACTCTGCTTTTTTTGGGGCTCTGCGGTACACCGCAGAGACCCATGCATCTTATCTCCTAAGCTTGAAGCCTAAAGCTTGAACCCTTAGACCTAAACCCTAAACCCCTAAACACTTAAACCCCCATGGGAAGAGGTGGCAAGTTGGCTGGTCGCAGGCCAAGAAGAGGCCGGTTTTTCCGGCTGAGAGCTTCGGGTTTAGGGTTTTTTGTTCAAGGTTTGGGGTCATACTTCAATTTTTTGGGCTTTGCTTAAGGGTTTCAAGGCCTCTGTTTCAAGACACAAGGTTTGGGTCATGGAGCTTCCGTTGCAAGATTTGGTACTTTCTGTTCAGTTTACTTTCGGGATTGGGAGTTTGGCAACATTTAGGTACACTCAAGTTGAGATTACCCCACCTCCTACCCATAGTTCTGCAACTGGATTTGTCGCTTACACGGCTGCCTGACAAGTACCCCACGTCTCTGTAGAAATCCTAGGCCTTGAACCCCACATTGACATGAGCTTCAGTCTTAACTCCTAGTATCCCCCCCTTCATAACCCCGTATAACTATATTACATAACCCCCTTAAGGCCCAGAACCGGCGGGTTGCAAAAATTAGGGGTCCCTTCATCAGAATCGCAATAGATAGGCTGACTTTTTTTTGTGGGTGTACAAGGGGAGTTTTTTGGAAACCGCGCAACTTATGCCAAAGAGCGTGAGCTATTGGAGAAGTTACAATGTTACAATGCGTTGGCGCGAGATATCTCAAGGTGTGTTGCAGATTTCCTTGTGTATGTTGGAACCACGGATATGTCGTGTATCTTCATTGGTGTACGTTAGCTTCTTTGTTGCGGCTGTGTTGGGAGTGCACTGCCAGAGACTCCCGAAGGGAGTCAAAACCTGATCCCGCCCGAAATGAATCCATTTGTAGCGGCTGTCGCATTGTTGCTGCACATCCAGAAGGAATCCAAAGAAGGTGAAAGGAAACGACTGGCAACCGCTAGAGAACCCTGTGGTTCCTCGTTGTTAACATTAGTTGCTTCGTTGTTGGAAAGCTTCTTTGCACTGGTTATACTACACTCCAATAAGGAATGGAGGATGATGATTGCCAATACTACCTAGGAAGCAATCAGTCAGCGTCGAGCTTGCCCCAGGCCAGGCATTACTGCGAAGGCCCCCAAGCTGGAATTGCATTGCGCAGTTCGAGATTCAGACTTTTGAGGTTCCGTTCAACCAGTACGCCCTAAACCCTAAGCCCCTCAGAACCCCGAAGGGCTCGGCACCCCTCTGTCTGGATAATTATCCCCAAGCAGCAGAGGCCTGAACCCAAGATCATCCGTTCAAAGAGACAAGCCTGAACCCTGAACTGAAAGCCTTGAACTTTCTGCGGGAATTCTATACATACATCAATGCATCAATGTAGGACGAGCAGAACCCCCGCCCACTTGTCACAGAAAAGTTGTCTGCAATACACATATGTGAGTCTATATGA